CTCCTATTTACCCCTCCTTTGCCGGCCGCGTGCCCCCCCTCCGCGTCCCCCTTCCCCTGGTCTGTGTGGTGGAGGGGGGGAAGGGTCCGCTGGCCACGCTTCGTGAGTGCAAGCCGGCCCGGCGGGCGGCGACGGCGGACCCGAAGCCGCCCGAAGCAAAGCAAAGCAAAAGAAGAAAAGCTCAGTTCCTCTCCCGGAGAGTTAGACGCCGGTTGTGTGTGCCCCGTGCGCCCTGTGTTGTTGTCGTGCGCGTCTGTTTGTGTACATTGTGTGAGTGTGTGTGTGCGCGGGCGCATGTATGTGTGCGTCTGCAGGCTGACGCCAAAGTGCAAGTGATCTCGTCCAGGAGGTGCCAGGGTGCGTCCCGTGCAGTCCTACGGGAGCCCGTGCTGCCCAGCCCTGGCTGGCTGGCTGGCTAACTTGTTGCTGCAGCAGCTGCAGTCGCTGTGCTCTGCGGGGCGCGGGGCTGCGGCCGCTGCCGGGGCCGGGGCCCTCTAGGCGGTGTGGTGGAGTGGAGTGGCTCCAGGGAATAAAAAGAAAATATCAAAGAAAAACACACAATCAAGGAAGATGGCGCGAAGAAGGCCGTGAACCTGAAGACTGGATACTTAGGGGCTTTGGATTATTTTCTGCCCGGACCAATTAAATCGCCACCCTGTTTTGTGTTCCGAAACACCGTGGATCGTCCGCACCCAGCGACGATGTGAGTATTGCATTTACTTTAAAGGAGAACGAGGTTCATTAAAGATGCCTGCCTGACATCAACAGACATCCATTTATCGTTGCGACTGAAATCTACCATTTTGGCCAGTTGCACGAATCGTTCCACAATAATTTTTTCGCAGGTTCCTGGAGCGACGAGCCGAACTGCGCTCATTACCTTAACTCTATAATATCCGCCGTCAGTGCCGCCGGACAACAGGACGTCCAGCCCTGGTTTTTATTATTTTTATTGATGCAGGCGACCCCGGACTGGTTCTGCTGCATTTCCTGCATGCTCTTTGCCCCCCGCCACCCTTCCTCCTTCCATTCTCGAACTATCGCCCATCGATGATCGACCGCGACGATTGAACGACCAAACTCGTTCAAACTGAAAAGGGGCGTTCCGAGAGCCTCTCGGCGAGAGGGGCGTAGGGGCGTACCGACCCACCACCGCCACGCACGGCGTGGCGGGGCGGGCGGGGCGCGGGGCGCGGCGAGCCGAGCCGGCAACAACCGGCACTGCACTCTCAGATAGCTTATCAGTCCGAAGGGCTGGGCACACAGGCGAGCGCAGGTCCTGCCCGCCTGGCCGTGCCGGCGGCCCAGCCTTCCACTGGAGCAGCAGGACACCCGGGGGCCCGGGTTCGACTCCCGGCCGCAGCGCGCGCAGCGCCGCCGGCAGAGTGAGATGGAATGGCTGGGCTGGGAAGATTGGCCCGCCCCTTCCCTGCTGGCCTTCCCCTCTCCGACAATGTGTTTCACCGAGTGTGGAACTGGGTTGGTTTCCCGGTGACACTCTGCCCTGGCCGCGGGGCCCGGGGGTGACGGGGCCGGGCCGGGAGGCGGTGGAGGGGGGCGTTGGCGGGAATCACCCGCCCGGGGCGTAACGCGTCGTGACAGCACGGCGCCAAGGCCACGACGACGCCCCGCCCGGCCCTATTCGAGTAGCGCCTGCTGCTGCTGCTGCTGCTCGGAGGCAGCGCCAAGGCGAGCCGAGCGCAGCGGTGAGGAGGATCAGTTTTCACCCCGATTTTGGAGCGCGAAGGTGAAACTTGGTGGTCACTCCGGCCTGCTGCACAGCACACCCCGACCCGAGTAGACTTTGCTCCCCGAGCCGAGGCAGGCAGCAGCAGCAGCAGCAACAGCAGCACACAGGAACAAAATAAGGAGGCGTTTCCGGACGACTTTCGGTGGGTGGATCGAGGAAGGTAAATGAGGATGTGGTTTCATAGGGTTTCCCTCGTTGATTTTGGAATTCCACGCCGCTGGTCGGGGCCGGTGGTGGTGGAGGGCGCGCCGGTCCCCGTAGCCAGGCGCCGCAGCGCGCAGGAATTCGTTGAGCAAGCCGGCCAGAAAGTGATTTTTAATTGGTTTCTTGCTCTGTCTGCGTAATGCATGGAACGCCTTCCCATTTCTCGGCGCGACGGCGTCCTTCTCGCCGGGCTGTTGGGTGGGGTTAGGGATCGTCTGGGACGGGTACGAGTACAACTACAAGCCGCAGCAGACACCATCAACGGGGCCCAGCCCATCAACAGGTAGCTGCCGCTCCTCTCCCTCCCCCGCCTGCCTCTCCGAATCCCATCCCAGAAGTACTACAACGATGCGCCTCGTCGATCTCCCCCTCCTCTTTCATTTCTCCCCTCGATTTTTCGAGCCGGTCGGTCGGCCGGCCGGCCGATGTGTTAGTAGATACATAGGTAAGGAGGCGCCCTGCCCTCCTGGCCCGGCTGTGGCAGCGGCCGTCCTGGCCCCCGGCTCGCCCCCCTCCCAGTGGGGTGTGACGTCGCGAAGGAGGGCACCTGTCTGTCCGTATTGTGACTCGTGGGAACAACGCCCCCCCCCCCCGCACGGCCAGGAGGAGGAGGAGGGTATCAGAAATGCGCGACCAGGCGGCGGCGTCGCCACGGCGGCCAGGTGCAACCGGATGTTGTCGCCGTCCTCTTCTGATTGAAATCGCGGCGCTGGACACGCCGAGAGAGGGGACCGGGGTGTGGCAACACCAGCCCAGCCGGGCCTGCCGGTCCGAGGAGGCCGTCGCGGGGTGCACGGCTTGAAGTGCACGGTGCACTCGGACACCGCCGCCGCCGTCCTGCGCTGCTGCATCGTCGGCCGCCGACATCCTGCTCTGCGCTGCTCGTCCGACCCTCAAATTTATGCATCTCGAGCAGACGAGCAGCGCCCGCCTCTATGGCCAATTTGCGTTGCGTGAGGGGACGGTGGGGCGGGCGGGGGTGGTGTTCCCCACGCGCATCCACAGAGATGAGAGTGATTCCAGAGTGTAATTGGCCGTCGAGTGCGTGGAGGGCGACCGGAGGGCGACCCCCGACCCGCTATCGGCCGCGCGGCATCTGGTGTCGTCCTGGTCCCTCTCCGGTCCCTCCACGCCGCTGCTGGCGACGACGCCCCCCCTCTCTCTTTCCTCTCCGTCCCTCCTCGCCCTCTTGGGGCTGCCGCGGGGACCCGCGGTCGCCCCAACAACAACGTTTGTGAATGGAAACAACATTTCGATCGAATATTCAGCGGAAACCCCGTGAAATGGCGCAACCGCGGAGAGTGGCAGGGCAGGCAAGTGTGGCGGTCGGGGTCGGGTTCACTTCACGCAACTCGACGTCATCGCGGTGTCCGCCCGCGGCTCTACTTTTACTCCGAGTGCATCCGTGGCCCACGGGGCGACGGGGCGGCCGGCGGTGACGGCGGTGACATGACTCTTCCGTCCCGAGACTGCGCGATGTTGTCTGTGTGTGTATACGTCTCGCGCCCTCCGGAAGTCAGTCAGAGAGTCTCTTCTCTGGTGTTTACTCTCGGGGCTCCGCACCGCACCAACCCACCAGAGCCAGCGCTGCCATGGGGCGCAGCCCCGCAAGCAGCCTCTGTTTTTATCGCGACCGCCGCACTTTGTGTCGCCCGAGCCGTGCTCTGCGATAGCCAGAGAGCCAGTTGCTGCTGCCTCTTTGTTGTCCGGGCCGTTCTGTGTTGGCCTCTCGTGCCCCAGAGCCATCATCGCGTCGTGCGCCGACCGCGCGCTCACGGTTCCCGGGGGACGACGACAACAGAGTCCGTCTGCCTTCGAATGGAGCGAGAGTCTCTCTAACGAGGGGCGGGCATCAGGCCAAAAGCGAGCGGCGGCGGCGTCAGGCCAACTGCGGCATCAGGCCAAAAGCAGCGTCGGGATCGGGACGCTGCCATCATCAAATACTTTGGGGGTGGCGTGGCGGCGGGGGCCGCGCGCGCGCGCTCGCTCCACGGGCCGGCCGGCCGGCCGGACGGACGGAAATTGAAATGATTACTACTGCTGGCCAAGTAAAAATAAGAAAAATACAAAATGAGAGAAGAAGGAATGAGACGGAGCACAATAAAAGTGTGCGCTGCTGCGGTGGTGATCCCCCCGGCTGCATTTAGAAGGGCTTAATTGCATTCGGGTTGCGCGCCTTTTCCCTCCACGGGAATAACGAGACGTGTCGGCGCTCTCCGCAGTGTACCCGCCGCGCCGGCCGGCCGACTCGACTCACAACCGGCCGGGGCGTACGAGAGGAGAGGTGGGTTCCGTCGGTGGTTTTGCCACCGCGCGCTGCCGGCCGCGGGGCGTGGCGTGGCGGGGCGCGGCCCCTGCTGGACATGTTGCTGCCGTATCCGTGGAATTTGCGTAGGCCTATAGGAGGCCGGCGGCCGGGGCCTGGAAATCTCGCTCTGCCGTTGGGCCCCCCGGGCGAGATGCGGTCCCGTTGGGCGGCGGTCGACGGGCCGGCGAGCACGGCGGCAGCGGGTCAACGACGACGACGTCGTCCTGGATGACGACGAGGATCATCATCATCATCATCATCATCATCATCATGGAGAGCGCGGCGACAGCGCAGGGATGATGTGATGACGCGGTCATCACGGAGGAGGACGTTACGTTTCTGCGACGCCAGCTTCTGCACTGAGCGATGCGTGCTATGGACACGTGACGCGGGGCCCTCTCCTCGCATTCCAGCGGCGAGCCGAGCCGAGCCGGGCCGAGCTGAGCCGAGCCGAGCCCCCGGCGGCAGGTGGTGTGTCTGGGCTCCAGCGCCTCCAGCGGCGGCCGGGCCCAGGCTCCAGCCCAGGCTCCAGCAGGCTCCATGGACCCTCCTCCTATTGAATAGACGAGCAGCAGGGCGCAGCAGCAGCGGCAGCCGGGCAGAGCGTGGCATTGACAGCAGACGACGCCGTGCGTGTCGCGCTGCGCTACAACAACGCCACGAGTATTGATGAATGAGGCTGCGCCCCTGCCGCCTGCCGCCGCCGCTGGAGGAGGGAGAGGGGGGAGAACCGGTTGAGTACCTATACCTCGCCAGACCCACCCGGTACCCGGCCCGGCCACAAGCGCCCCAAGGGCAAGGTCTAGCTGCATACAGGTTTGCCGAGCCGAGTGTAATGGCGGACCCTCCCCGGGCCCGGGCCGCCTGGACCGGACCGAGCGGAAACGGCGACGAGGAGGTGGAGGAAGAAGAAGAAAGGAGGAAAGGCGAGCGGGTCCTCGCGAGCCGGGGGCGGGGCGTGGCGTGGCGACCTTGCCCTTATCAACCTGCTTGTCGCGGGGTGGGCACCGCCGCAACCCCGCTCCACTCGATTGTCTGCCGCCCGGAGGCTGTGGGGGGTGGAAGGAGGAGGAGGAGGAGGAGCAGGCCGCGTGGGTGGAAGCGGCAGGTGTTGCGCAACGCCTTGCGCTAGTCTCTCTCAGCGCGGCTGAGCGTGCGTGGCTGAGCATGGCCGAGGAGCGTGGCTGGGCACGGCCGTGTGTAACTGAGCACGGCTGAACGTGGCTGAACGTGGCTGAACGCGGCTGAACGCGGCTGAGCGATGGCTGAGCAGGCCCACGGGCTGCTGACACGAGCCGGCCGCTCGGCCCGGCGGCCTGCTCTGCCCGCGCGTGGTCCCGTCCCGTCCCGGGCGTGTAATTTGACCTGTTTAGAGGTGAATTACGGAAACGGCTTCATTACAGCGCCCCAGATACACGGGCCGGGGCCGGATGCAGGCGCG